GGGTTTAGACTTGAAGGGTGGTCTTTCTGACCAGCTAGGCTGGTCTTTATTATAATTTTGAGTTTGTTTCACATTTCCTCCCCTTCTATCTAATGTGATTCCTTTCAGAAAAGTTGGTACTGATAGCTGGGCACCACCTAGTTTTGATCTCAAGAGTTATAGAGATTGATGTTCATGGAAACCATTAGTCCACTGGACTCATTGAGTCTAAGTGTCTTCAATTTTCATCCCTTTTCTTTCCTCCGCACAGGGAGAGACCAATAGTTGCAACTTAGATGGCCATTTACGAGCTTTTAAGATCCCAGATGCTACTCACAAAAGTAGGATGCAGAACATTGTCTTTGTGGACCATCTTTTGTCAGTTGATCATGGTGTCCCCTGAGACTATGGTTCTGAGCTCGCAGACCCAGCAATTCAGTTCCCTCAAAATGTTTGGTAATATCTATGTTTTCATCATTTTGGCCCCTGTATGCTCCACCATGAAGAAGCTCTGGTAGTGTAGTGGTTATGAATCGGGCTGCGAACCTCAAGGTCAGCTGTTTGAAACTACCAGCTGTTCCACAGGAGAAAGATGAGGCTTTCTACTTCCGTAAAGATTTACAGCCTCAGAAACCCTGTACAGGGTCGCTATGGGTCAGAACCAACTCCACGGCACACAACAACAACATGCTCCACCACATTCATAGATAAGTTTGCAGCAATGGTAGATATAAATACCGTCTTAAACCTTTATGCATACATATCCTCTTAAACCTTTATATATTTGTGGGTATACTCCCAATCTCCCCACCCCCCCATGCCCCTTAAGTCTGTGTATCTGTCAATCACTGTTATTGCAAAATTGTGTGTCTAACATTTGTTGTTAAGTGTTGCTGAGTTGGTTCTGACCCATAGTGACCCTGTATAGGGTCTCCAAGGAGCAGCTGGTGAGCTTGAACTGCCTACCTTGTGGTTCAAACCGACTTTGCAGTGCAGCGCATTAGCCCACAGTGCCACCCCAGGGCTCCTATATAACAGCATTTACCTCTATTCCCTTTAACCCTTGAACTCCTCCCCGTATCTTCCCTGTCTTCATCATTCTTCGGCCAACCTCCCACTTGTTCTGTTGCCTTCCCCATCACCCAAGTCAACACCGAGTCCTGGTGTGGCACTGTAGGATAAAACATGGACTGCAAGGTTGGCTTGAACCACAAAGTTGGCGGTTCAAACCCATGAGTTGCTCCTCGGAAACCCTAAACAGGGCTGCTATGAGTCTGAACAGACTCAGCATCATTTAACAATAGAACTTTCTAACCAGTGAGTTATTCCCCCTCGTAACCACCAAAGAATGTTTCTTGCAGCATGGGATCCTTTTCTTGATTTTTCACAAGAGTGCTCTCATACAGTATTTGTCCGTCAGGGTACTTTTGGCTGCAAGTTAGAGGAGGCTCAACGCAAAGCGGCTCTCCAATAAGAAACCTCTGGCTTCTTGCTAGGTTGAGTGACCCATCCCTTCCTGGCAGTGGCAGGATTGGCTAACTACAGTGGCCTCTATACCACGTGCTTCTACCCCACACCCTAGATTTCTGCACACTCCTGCATCCCTGCCATCTCATGGACATCTCGGGCTCTGAATTCTTGCACCCAAGACTCTTGCTCTCCCTGTCCCCCTTGACCAGAAATGCCCCCTTGGGTGCCACAAAGTTCAGGTCCAGACTGTCCGAGCCATCTTTCCCTAATCTGAGGAGGTAAAGGGTGTTTGTATCATAGCACAACAAACATACGAAGCCTGAATGTTAAACCTCCCTGTGTTTGTTTAAAAATCGGTTTCTAACTCATCAGGTCATCCTGTCTCCTCTTCTCTTTTCTTTTCACTCTCACTGTTCCCCCAACCTCAAATTCTTGGCCTTTCCTTAATCAGAGTAGCTTAACTTTTTCTCTTTTGCACTTTTCTTCCTGCCAGTCCACATAGATTTACCACCCCCTCCTTCCGTAAGGGAAAGGCCCCAAAATAATAAAGATGCTGATGTGGAGCCCCGACATCATCGATGCACCAGCAAGAGCCTTTACGGGTTCTCCTCTGAGCTCCTTTTCACCTTGAGGTGGTGGATGTTTAGTGCTGTCGAGTCAGTTCCGACTCATACAGACCCTGTACAGCAGAACAAAGTACTGCTCAGTCCTGTGTCATCCTCACAATCACTGCTACGCTTGAATGCCCTGATGCTCCACCTGTGCCAATCCATCTGGCTGGGGGGGCTTCCTCTTTTTCACTGACCCTCCACTTTACCAAGTATGATTGATATCTTTCAACAGGAACTGGTCCCTCCTGATAATATGCCGGAAGTATGAAAGACAAAGTCTGGCCATCTTGGCTTCTAAGGAACATTCTGATTGTTCTTTTTCCAACATAGATTTGTCTGTTCTTCTGGCAGTCCATGGTACCTTTAATAGTCTTCTCCAACGCCATAACTCAAATACATCACTTCTTCTATGGTCTTCCTTATTCATTGTCCAACTTCCACATGCATATTGAAAACACCATGCCTTGCATTAGACACACTTTAGTCCTTAAACTGGTATCTATTCGCTTGAACACCTGAGGAGATGAAAGGATTTGCTTAAGCTGCAATGGAGTGCAGGTGTGGCCCTGTAGGATCATCACTGGACTGCTAACCACAAGGTCGGCAATCAAACCCACCAGAAACCCTATACAGGGTCACTTTGAGTCGAAACTGACTCGACGGCACTTACAACAGCAACAATAGTGGATTGGTTTGTAGTTGATTACAGCCAAAGCTCCCTCATTCTTAAACAAAGACTGTTCCTGCTGTAAGAGACACACTGTGACCAGATGGAGTTATAATAACACATATATTTTTTCATCCTGCCAAACACTTCAGCATAGTTTTTTACAAAAACCTACATTGTCATGATATCCACATGAATCGCTAGCTCTTTTACTTTGTACTCCACCTTCAACGTTGTGGAGGGCACAATTAATTGCTCTTAATTAAATGTAAGCAACGTTGGGTTCCTGACTTGTATTGTGTTTTTCTTTTGTTGTAGTTAAAACCGACTTTCTGTCTCTAAGTCTTGGTTACAATTTTATGTGTCTTTAGGGCCACAGTGATTGGGTGATGGATGTAGCCATCAGCAACAACAAGGAATGGATCCTGTCTGCTTCAAAGGTAACAGTGGCCACCCTCTGAGTGACATAAACACTCGACTGCATTCTTCCAGAATTGGTGATGGCAGATGGGTTATTGCCGAGTAGCATTCCTGGGCAGGCTGAGCCTGAAGTCCACACGTGGCCAGGGAGCTGCCTGGGAATGTGGACAGCAAAGCCTTCCATCTTCTATGAGGAGGTGCTGGTGGCTCACTGCATGTCTGCACAGTTGAGTTTGGTGGGAGCAAGAGTCTAGCAAGACTGCGAGGGATGGAGTCAACAAAGGACCTTGGAGGGAAGGTATCACATCATGGACAAGCAGCAGAGACCACCTCAAGGTTTCAGGTGGAGCTTCCCGTCTCACATCACTACACTTGGGGAGTCCTGTCTCAGTGGCACATAATGGCTGTTCTCAGTGTGAGCTCCAAGGAAGTGGGGCCCCACCTCCCCCATCATTACTAGAGCTATGTCCTTCTCTAGATTGGAGGTTTCCAGGTTTATGAGGATCTATGAGGATTCCCTGACAACATAGTGGGTTACAAGTTGGGCTGCTAACTGTAAGGTCAGCATTTCGAATCTATAGCCACTTCACAGGAGAAAGGTGAAGCTTTCTGCTCCCATAGATTGGAGTCCTGGTGTCGTGCTTAGGATAAGCACTAGACTGCGAAACAAAAGGTTGGTGGCTCAAACCCACCAGCCTCTCCATGGAAACCACTGGAAATCATAAGCACCGGCCTACTAACCACAAATCGCTCCTATGAAACCCTATACAGGGTTGCTATGAGTCAGGACCGACTTGACAGCACTTAACAATGATTAAGCAAGACCTTATTTAGTGTGACCAACTTTGTAGAGAGTCAACCTGCAACACAGCTTACCAAACAAAGAACATGATAATATATAGTGATATATAATAGGAATGTTGTTGTTGTTGTTAAGTGCCGTCAAGTCAGTTCCGACCCATAGCAACCCTGTACAGGGTTTCTGAGGGTGTAAATCTTTACGGGAGTAGAAAGCCTC